CAATTCCCTTTCTTATACCAAACTATCACCCTCCCACACTGCTTTTATTAATTCCCTCTCTTCACATTTTGAGCCATCTTCTTTTACTGAGGCTTCTCAGCTCCCAGAATGGCAGGCTGCTATGGCCAGTGAGCTTACAGCTCTTGAGATAAATAAAACATGGTCTATTGTTTCTCTTCCCCCATCCAAGAAGGCTGTTGGTTGTCGTTGGGTTTTTAAGGTTAAATATAACTCGGATGGATCCATTGAAAGGTATAAAGCCCGGTTTGTGGCTAAGGGTTTTACCCAACAAGAGGGGGTGGATTACATGGATACCTTTTCTCCGGTTGCTAAGTTAACAACCGTACGAGTTCTCCTTGCTCTTGCTGCCAAACACAATTGGACCCTTGTCCAACTTGACGTCAATAATGCATTCCTCCATGGTGATTTGCTTGAGGAGGTGTATATGCATTTGCCTCCTGGTTACACTTCCAGTCACTCATCCCTTCCTCCTAATGCTGTTTGCCGCCTCCATAAATCTCTTTATGGACTCCGTCAGGCTTCCAGGCAGTGGTATGCCAAGTTCTCCTCCACCTTGACGCAACTTGGGTTTCTACAATCACAATCTGATCACTCCTTATTTGTTCGTTCTTCTCCTACTTGCTTTATTGCTATTTTGGTTTATGTTGATGATATTATTGTTGCTTCTAACAATCCTCATGAAGTACAACAGCATACTGCCACATTGCATAACAGTTTCAAGTTAAAAAATCTTGGTTCCTTAAAATACTTTCTCGGCCTTGAAGTTGCTCGCAGTACAAAGGGCATTTTTATTTCTCAACGACAATATGCTTTGGAGGTTCTCAAAGATTCTGGCCTGTTGGGTTGTAAGCCTCGTAGCACGCCCATAGGTGTTGGTTTCAAGCTATCCACTCCTGATGGTGACCTCCTATCTGATCCATCCATATATCGGCGGTTGATTGGACGTTTTCTTTATCTTACAATATCCAGACCCGATCTTTGTTTTGCTGTTAATCGTTTGAGCCAATTTATGGCCTCTCCTCGGGTTCCTCACCTTCAAGCTGCCCACAGGCTCCTTGGTTATGTTAAGCATACTGCTGGTCAAGGCCTTTTCTTCTCTTCTGCCTCTCCTATTCAATTAAATGCTTTTTGTGACTTCGATTGGGCTTCTTGCCCAGAAACCCGGCGTTCGATTTCTGGTTTCTATGTTTTTATTGGTGATTCCCTTGTCTCTTGGAAGTCTAAAAAGCAACACACTGTGTCCAGGTCTTCTACAGAAGCAGAATACAGATCTATGGCTAATGTCACATGCGACCTTTTATGGCTGTTTTCACTTCTCAAAGATTTTCAAGTTTTGCACCCAGCTCCTGCACATCTCTTTTGTGACAATCATTCTGCTCTTCACTTGGCAGCAAATCCGGTTTTCCATGAGCGCACCAAGCACATTGAGATCGATTGTCATCTTGTTCGCGAGCACATTCTCAAAGGACGCATTAAGACCTTTCCTGTTCCTTCATGCAAGCAGCTCGCGGACCTGCTTACCAAGCCTTTGCTTCCCTCCAAGTTTGCTGTTCTGGTGTCCAAGATGGGTGTTTTAAACATCCACTCTCCATCTTGAGGGGGGCTATTAATATTCATTTTTTTATTTGTAATTCTTTTATCTTTCTGATAGTTTTTACACTGCTATTTCCCTTTCCACGTTTCTGTTAGAGAGTTGTGTGCTCATGTGCACATTCTGTTAGCAGAGTAGTGAAGTGCTATTTTTACGCTTTTCTGTTATGACCTCATGCCTTTTATATAACTTACCACTGTATGCAACTTTTCTTCTAAGTAATGAGAATTATGCAATTCAGCAACATTGAGTCTTTCTCTGGTTTTCCATTTCTCATAACTAATAAATTCAATCATATGTTGTTATATATATATATATATATATATATATATATATATAAAACAGGTTGAATATGATTGCCATCATATATGAGAGTTCAAACTCGGTTAATGATGTTTGAACATAAAATTAAATGATAATGTAAAAAATGTTTTTAGGTACTGTTTATGAAAATTAAACTGTCTCAATAAAAAATAAATAAAAGAAGATGCTCTTAATTACCACTTAAAATATGGGATTATTTATAACCATACAAGTGACATTGAGTAACTTGACACATGCATGCTATTAGTTAGTAATGGCCAATGATGTGTCACACATAACACGGGCTTGGGCCAAGATAGGTGGTTTCAATTACAATTTTTTTTTTTTTTTTTGGAGTTACCCAACCCTAATTATCTCTTTGAGACGAGTTGGCTCCCTCCGGTATCCCCACAAGCTTCGACTCTTTGAGCCGGCTATAAGACTAATCCGGAGTGCGGGGAACAGTGATGGCTAAAGGTTCAGCCTCCTCCCCAAAAATGCATTCAGCCGGTTTCAATTACAATTTTGGATTGTGGGATTTTTTACGTTGAGTATTCAATAATAATGCTTAATCATTAAGATTTCTAAGAAATTCTTCAATGTGATATCAAATATGAGATTCTAAGAAACCCACTATCACATTTTCAAGCATCTAAAAATAATCCTCCTACCAAACTAATACGACCAATACTTATAATTTTTAAAAACTAAAAGGTAATGTCGTTAACGATAATATTTGAATTGATATAGAGATAGACATATATGTCTTTTTACCTCAATTCCATTATTTTCATCTACTATGACTGCCTTCTTTATATAACAATTAAATAAATAACACCTATTACAAATATAATGAAAATATAATCGACTATCATTTATAAGAAAGGGATTAAATATTTAATTTTTAGAGAAATATAATTATATTTGTTTAAATTGTTATTTTATTTTATTAATAATTTATTTTTTACTTAATAAAAATATTAAGAATCAAGAATCAAGAAAAAATAATATCATTTTTCACTCCTCATGAAGCCTTTATTGCATAAATAATTGTCAGTTTTATTCTACCAAGCTCTAGTGCCTTATGAATTTTACACACCTAATTATCACTTCCTTCCACACAAAAATCTTCAGTTAAAGCTATATAAATATCTTTAGATAAGCTTCTATTTAGAAATGCTCTTTTGACATCTAAATGTCAAATTTTACACTTCATTTTTGCAGTAAAAGCTATAAGAACATGGATTATATCCGTTCTTGAAACTGGTGCAAAGGTTTTTATGTAGTCAATTCCAGATTGCTGAATGTACACTTCAACATGATATTTGGCCTTGCACTTACTTGTTGGATCCATTGGGGTTTAGTTTTACCCTATAGACCCACTTAACTCCAATAAGTTCCTTGTATTCAGATTTGTCAACCGGCTGCCAAGTCTTACTGTTTTTATTGGTGTCAGTCTTTAAAAACCCGGCCCGGCCATCGACCCGGTCGAAGTCAGGAGTCATGGGGTCACGGGTTCAACCGGGGGAGTCATGGTTTTATATATTAAAAGAATAAGAATATATATATCTTATATGAAAATATTAAAAAACAAACCACCAATCATCAAAGATTCAAAATATACTTAACATAATTCACGAATTACAAATACAAGTCAATATTACACAACCTATTAAAGTATCAAAATACCAAAATACAAAACTCATATTCTAATGGGGTCACTACGTTGACCCGGTTCTGTCTCTTTTGAGAAGTTTCCTGACAAAAAAAAAATGTAAAGGAAGTAAGAATGAGATTTTGTTTAATTTTCGTCGACTACCGTAAGGATTTCATTTGAATGGGTAAAATTCTTACCTTTTCTAGAAGATTCACGGCAGCGAGGTGAATATTGAAGACGTCTAGGTCGCTAGGAGAGAAGAAAACGATTAGATTTAGGTTTGCAAGCATTTTTTTTTTTTTTTAATAAAATGATATTATTTCATGGATTTTTTAAAAAAAAAACATGCAGTGACCCTCCTTGATCCCTCTGACCCGGGAGTCACTGAAACCCGGCCAGGTTTTGGGGGTCGGAGGGGTCAATATGCATATAGGGTCCAACTTGTGACCCCAACTCTCAGAGAGGAGGGGTCAGGGTTGACCCGAGTCAACCCGGAGGCGCGGGGTGGGATTTTAAAACACTGATTGGTGGTTATCTCCTTTATTGGCTTTAAGAAACAGCCATTTGGAGCTTCAACCAAGGCTTTAAACTTCTTAAAAAAAGGAAAAACTTCATAAGTCTGTTTAAGGAAGTAAACCTAAGTCATCCTTGTAAAATCATCTATAAAAAGAATAGAGTATTAACTGCTATTAAATAAGGTAGTTTTACAGGTCTACGAACATTAGAGTGAACTACTCGAAGCTTTTCACTAGTTCTTCATGGAGGTAGAAAAAGATAATCGGCATCCTTCACACGTTACTGAACATACTTGAATATTAGACAAATCTTCAACCAACTCTGTCCTTTGAGCAAACTGAATCAGTTTCAAATTATAATGATAAAATGTATTGTGACAAAGCTTAAATCAAGCTCAATCTTGCTGATTTTACACTCATGCTCAATAATTAAACTCCAATTATTGCGAAAGCATCTTTTTCTCGTCTCTACAAATATCAAATAACTCATGACCATCAACATAAATAACCATACAACTTCCTTCTTTAAACTACAGAGTAAGCATTTTGCTTCATTAGCATGAATCTCAAGTTCCTTTGTCAATGATAGCAACTTTGTCTCCAAATTTTTAACTTTACTAATCCTGTAACTGGTGTCAGCTTTGAGAAAAAAAATTTGGTTTGCTTTTCGAGTTGCTGCTTTCATGCTCCTTTCCAACCATGAATTTGGTGTGTTTAAGGACAGACCTTAAAACGTAATTCTACAAGGAAGGAGTAGGAGGGGAGGGCAACATCAAGCAGACGTGGCATGATGATGATTGCAAAAGATTCATTATTGACATGATCATAATTTATCTTGTTTTACTCTCAACTTTTACCGGTCAAAGAAAATCCATTAAAGAACATTTTTTTTCTAAGAGATTAAGCACCGGATCAAATGCCTATAATACTTAAAAAGGATGATTACAAAACCTTCTCCAACTGCAATCCAGGTTTACATTTCAATCTCGATAAGTTCCTGTATAACCTATGCTTTCTAAGTTTCCTATATACAAAAATTTTATTACACGACCACACAAGAATCATGAATCAATTAAGATCGGAAACAGATTGGACTACACATCCAATTGAGATTTCTCCTTCTCACAAAACCGGTCACATTTGGATGGCAACTAACCTTTTCCATATCATCCATCCAAAAACCCTCCTTGTTGAAGGACTAGGAAAGCTGCATTTTAACAAGGAAGCCCCTCATAATCACACGATTGTCATCAAGAGAAACGATAAAGCAACAAGAAGGAAAAACAGCACGTCATGACTGTAGAGGCCTGCAGAACATGAAAATACAGTCAGTCAATTGATCTGGTGTTACTCAGTTATCAAGTTGGTTAACAGTTTCAATCTACTTTATCTTTTCTCTGAAGGTAGGCATAACCGATCATAAGATACCATTTTAAACACCCAGATGTAACCACAAGCATATATATGTTCTAGTTTAAACTTTAAACAGTGTTTAAGAACTTCATAGTTTACTGAATAAACAGCATAAATTGAAAATATTCTCTTACAACTTTGACTAGATGCTGCTGCAGGAAGGGCAGGGATGTTGACAGCTGCAGTCCCAATAAGGTAGAATCATCAAAAGTTTACAAAAGAAATAGAATATTTTATATAAGAATGAATTAAAATAAAAGAGTTGTGAAACCAAAAAGAACTTAAAAAATATATAGCATTTTCTTCTTTCCCTCTCAGCGAATAGCAATAAAAACAAACAAATATAAATAAATAAATAGCAGTTTTCCACTCAAAACTATGTAAACTTCCAACAGGGTAAACGTACATTTATTGCATGATGAAGCAGCCCCTTGAGATGTAGAAGGCCAGGGAGCTGGAATATTGTCATTTAGATCACAAAGGAAGGTAATCCCAGAAGTACTGTCAAATGTAGCATCAGAAGGCAAACTGGGTAATAGACAACCAGCCCCTGTTTAGGGAAAGTAATATAGCAAGTCACATCTCAGCATAACATTAGATGCAAGAGGACATCGGTGACTTAATTGAAGCATTACATAATAAAGAATGCATTTCAAAAGTAAACATTTTTTCTTAATTGAAAATAATTATATAAACACTTTCCCTTTTCTCTCCCCCTCCCCCTAAAAAAGAAAACACCAAGAGTTACCTTGATTTCCAACTGAAGCATCCACATTGTTGATTTCCACACCAAGTTGAACATGCAGGAAGAAAAAAGAATTATTAACATCAGGTATAAAATATTATGGGCATTGAGAGTTATTGTGTTGCATATTAACAGGAACAGAGAAGCAAAACTAACCTTGAAGGGAAAAATCCTTAAGGCTTATGTGACAAAGACTATAAACATCTTCATTAATATTTGACTTTTTTAATTTCATTGCCAAAGTCTCTGCACAATTCAAAGCTTGCAAGTTCGTGATGAATCTCTGCTTTTGCAAGTGAGACACATAGCTTTCCATGGCATTACAGCATGCTGTCTTGTTACTTATCCCGTTCCCACAACCCTTGGCAACTTGCTTCATGTCAGGGAAAACCAGAGGACAAACTGTGGCAGAAGACAAAGAAAAGATCTAAGTGAAAAAAATGCAGTATTAAGAGGCCAGAAGGATTACCATCATTAGGAATCATCACCAGATGATAAAAAAGCGCCGAATGCGACTAGCTAAAATCTACCAGAATCATCACATGATGACCATTGCACATAAGCTTAGTGGTAAGCCACAAGTAACAAGGCTTTTCATGTAGAGCTATACAGGAAATAGAAAATCACGAAGAAAAACTGCCCCAACTCATAATCTCCTCAACCTTTGTCAGGAAGGAACAATATACCATTTTACTCAAACTAACCTTTGTTAAGGTTGCAATTAGAAAGCCCTCTGAGAACTTTCTTGGCATCAGAAGGATCAAGCTTGCTAGCTATCCACCGGAGGACAATATTTCTACAATCATTGACCCGAATAGAGTGCTCAGGTAGAACATGCGGCACACCTATGCTCAAAGTATCAGAACTTTTTGATGCAATTGTCGTAGCTGCTTCTAATATAGCATTCTGACAAATTTGGTAGCAGCATTCTTTCACGGGATCAATTTTCTCACAGGCAGTAAGGAGCTTAGAAGTATCCACCATGTCATAAAAATCGTTCACATTTTTCACTGGGCAAGATGCCTCTGTAAGATTTGAAGAATGAATTGAACATATCTGCTTCAGACTATTATTGGCACCCTGGCTCATCAAAATCTGCTCCACATCAGAAAGGCAATGTTGAGCAACGATCCCATTTAAAGCAAGTACATCAGTATATTTACTGGATTGACCAATGAGAATTGTGAGAGTGGCTTCAAATTGGGGACAACATATAACATTAGCCAGATATGGTGCAAAAAATTCCCAGCAATCAATGGCTGTCACACTTGTCAAATTTTCAGCAGCAGTGAAGTTCAAAGTGCAGAGTCCTGCAAGATCCGCAGACAAAGACAGTATAAGAGAGAGAGTAAACATCCAAATTCAAGCCTTTGAAAATCCAAAATAACCACAGAAATTATTTAGAAAAGAACCTGATAACTTAGGGATGGAGGTATTGGTGAATGGAGCCAGTGGTGAAGGTGCAAGAAGAGGAAGAAAGGGTTGCGGAGCACCAAGAGGTGAGATTTTGGGGAACATGGAATCCACATGGTTATCCAATAGTACAGGATCTCGAAGATGATCTAATCTACTGCTATGGGAATCAAGCGCACCTGTACCAAAAATCGAATGAGAAAGAATCTTTACCTCTCTGTGTGTCTCTCCCTCTTGCTTACTCACTTAGAATGAGTTAGCAAAGCAAAATAGTACATGCAAAGAACTGTATTGATCGCTTCAATTAGAAAATCATACTTCTCCAGATATTATGTTGTGTTAAAGAGTTACAAATAATAGCAGTCACAGTTCAAGGATGAGGATGTCATAACATATCTTATAGTTAAAACCTAAAAGGCACTTAAGCATGGAAAAGTATCCTGAACTCAATGTGTTGAGATATATAGTCCCACATTGGTTGTATGAGCAACTAATGTGGAGTTTATAAGGCCTTGGGAACTCCCACCCTTTGAGCTAGTTTTTGGGGTGGTGTATCCCAAGGTTCTTTACATGGTATCAGAGCCTCATGTCCTAGGTTCTTATCACATGGTATCAGACCCCCCACTTTCTTTCTGGTGGAATTTCTTTCTTCGCACAGGTAGGTGGGCCTGTGCATTGTCCACCCTTCAAGCCCAGTGGACTCTCATGTGAGGGGGCGTGTTGAGATATATAGTCTCACATTAGTTGTATGAGCCAACTAATGTGGAGTTTATAAGGCCTTGGGAACTCCCACCCTTTGAGCTTGCTTTTGGGGTGGTGTATCTCAATGTTCTTTACACAATGTTAATTAATTCTCATCAATAAAATCCTCCAGATACCAATTTGATTTTGTTTTAACTGTCCATGTGACATTACAGTCCCAATCCAGTCAAATTTGTTCAACAAGAAGAAATGAGAGATTCTATTTGTCAGTGAATGATAAAATCAATAGAAAAGAAAATCTTTGAATATAATTGAAATTGAGACTTCTAAATATATATCGGAGATCTTTGCAAACAAATGTCAAAGTTAAAAATTTATTTTGCTGAAGCAGAGGACAACCAAGGATAGAGTTCAACTTCAATTTATATCATGAAGTCCAGCATTTTGAAGTTTTGTGGGGAAGGGATGGGTGTGAGGCATTGTAATACTGAATTTCCAAACTCATGGACCAGCTACACCATTAACTAATTTGATTCAGCCTGTATTCTGGAAGATGAACTCTGTGCGGTAAGGGCTAAATCACAGAAGCTCCCTTGTTAATATGATCAAAGACCAATAATTATAACCAAATGGTGGTAGCTCCCTTGGTAGCAAGGGAGCTGAGTAAGTAAAAAGAAAAAGGCTTCGGTTTGATCCCCACATGCCATCTTTGGGAGGGGTTTAAATATCTTCATCCCTGACTCTCTCCGCACACCGGATTAATTCCTAGCCAACTCAGAGAGTCGAAACTTATGAGAATACCAAGGAAGCCAACTTGCCTTAAAGAGTTAATTAGGGCTGGATTAACTCCAAAAATAAAAAAAGACCAATAATTATATCATCAGCTTAGCGAGCACCAGCAATAAAGCTAAGTTGAAACCAAAATTCAAGAATAGCCTAAGCTTTTTTTGTTTTGTTTTCATTAGCACAGAAAATTAGCTAAGAAAGTAAAAATAAAACAAAAATTCCAAAACCCTAACTCCGCCTACTGCTGGCACTATCCCACCTCATCATAACGAACATTGCAAATTAGCAGGAGAAAAGACGAGTCCAGAGAATAATGCAAGTGAATATAGTTCATGAAACTAGAAATAAATGAAATCTCATCAGCAAGCAGCAAACTTTAAAAACCCAGAGCCATGCTCAAAGTGTAAAACACCAACAACTGCTCCCCAAAACAAATACCCAACTTTGGAACTCATCAAACCCACTTGGGTTTTGGCCAAAACAAAAACAGCAGAGCAATACAGTAATCAATAATCTTACAGATCAAACGAAAATGAGAAAGAATTGCAGGCTATAAATCGGTAAGGAGGACTTACAGAGATTGAGCAGGAACAGTTGAAAAAGAAAGAGGTGAAGGAGAAGCAAGACGTTAGGCTTCATGCCCACAAGCAGAAAGGTAAAGCATTCAAGGAGAGAAGGAAAAGGTGAGTAACAGCATTGAAGATGGAGGAAGAACTAGAAGGGTTGAAAAAGAAAGGGTCATTCATGTCAATGTGTGAGTGAGGAAATAAAGAAAGAAAAGAAGAGTGAAAGCCATGAATGAATGAATGAGGGGTTCAACAAAGTTAGTGGGGACTGATGCAGGCTCAGTAATAGCTGTCTGGTGAGACCCAGAGAGAGAGAGAGAGAATAAGAGAGAGAGAGAGAGTAGACCCCACCATTAACGATGAGCTGCGTTTAGCTACCGCATTTACGCCATCAAATGCCTTTTTTCCCATTCCCCGCTTTTGCCTTTTCGCTTGTGTTTGTGTATGAAAGAAACCAGTTCTTTCGCACGCGTCACGCTCGCTCACACGCACGCTCCCATCGTTGGTGTTTGGGTACACGCGTTCGAGCCAACTACGTGAGACTAGTTGTGTTTGTGTTGTCACAGGTTTTCATGTTTCATGTTTTGGCGCTAACTGGGTCATGTGGCAGTTGGTAGATGGGAACATTTAATGGGGTCAGTTAATGGCTCTTGCTTTTATTTATTTTGATTTCGAATTGGAAACGGAATGAAAGCATTACTCCTACCAGTTCCATTTATCACTACTGTCTTCAATTCAAGGAAATGGATCATTTTATGGGTTAAAATTTAATTTTTAACCCACATAACTTAGCTTGATACTATTTTTCAATAATGTAAATAGTATCGTTTTTATCTTACGCCTATTTTATTCTTAATTTTCAGATGTTATTGATTTTAATTGACTTATGTGATTAATTTTTTTTATTATTTATGACCTTTGAAATTTGATATATTATCTTAATTCATTTAATTAAGCATGTATTTATTAAAGACTTATTATGTTATTTAAGATCTGCGTATTTTTTATTTGAGGACTGTTAGGTTACTTTTTAATTTATTTGACTATAGTTAAGACTTATTATCTGTAATAAATGTCACATTTTAACATTTATTTTAATATTGAAATTTTTATTTTATTTATCCCATGTCAAGCCGACGTATTCAATTTAACTTAATCCTCTCTCATAAATGAGTGAGGATGCGTCACATAAAAATAAAATAAAAATATTCTCTCAAATCAATCCAATCCTGATCATCCCTAAATGTTGCATGAAAAAAAAAAAAAAAAACTAACATCGCCCATAAAAAAAAACATGATATATCTTATATGTAATATTTTCAATAGCTTTCTTACATTTTACGTAGTGTTTTTTAATTATATAATCTTGGAAAGAATTTTGAAGTGTCTTCTTAGTGATTATATAAGCATGATAATAAATGTTGGATCAACTAGGCTCGAGCAAAATCAACCAATGGTATGTTAGTGATCTTCCATTAAGACAACGTACTTTTCATCTAAGCTTTTAAAAAAACAAATGATAATACATGGAGCCCATGACCATGAGATCCTGACCCAATTCAAGAAACTGGCCCAATCTCTCAACTTTTTATCTGACCTTCCTGACCCAATGATGAGTTAATGGACTATATATATCAAGTTAGCACTGGGCAGTGGCAATGTCTTTTATACTTTTTTTTAAACTATATTTAAAGAAATGTATTTATTGAATAACAAAGAGAAGAAAGAAATTGTGAAATTAATCCATATATTGAATAGGTACAGGTGTGTACAATATATACAAAACCTAAAGCACTTAGTTCAGACTTAACCTAAATACTAATAAAGAAAATATATTTACAATATTATTTCCAACAGTATTATCAGAACAATAAGTGGGATCTGAATAATTTTAAACTATATTTTATATGATTTTTTAATATGATAAAAAGTATAAAATATAGTTTAATATGATTAATTCCAATCTCTCAACTTTTTTTATCTTTCAGTTGTCAAGTTAGCACTCGGCAGTGGCAATGTATTTAAAAAGAAGTTATATATATATGATTAATTTTACTCCAACGTGGCCCCAATCCCATTTTTTCTATTATTGGAGACGGCTATACTCGGATGTTTGTTCCCTTACTAATTTACAAGCTAAACCATGACCTAATAGTTTGGATACATATATATGTTCTGGACAGAGTTCATAGATCTCACTTCAACATAATAACAACTTAGTAATAGGATAAGCAAACAAATCAAATACCTTCAGGTAAATCTATATATAAATAGCAGGTTAAGTATATCAAATACACATTTTTTGGATTATATTTTTTTAGTTGTCATAGTGCATACGCCTGATGCCATTCAACCTTGAACTTATTAGTACACAATGATATGATAACTCTTGCGGTATTTCTTGCGTAGACCGTTACTAGCGTACAAATCCCACATTCAATATAGTATTCAATTCATCACAATAAATTTAAATAGAGAGATTTCAAATGAAAACATGAAATCAACTCCTATGTATATTGTTCCAACATCATTACATACAAGTAATACAAAATTAAATCATATAATTATTAAACGTTAAATATTAGATTTAATTTGTTATACTTTCTGAGATTATAAATATGTTTATATTAATTTTATCATATCAATTTTTTTTAGCTAACGGTTTTCTTTTATATATTTTAATTGTATTTTTTTCCTGAAAATATTAAATAAATTATGTATTAAATATTTGTTTACCAAATAAAGAACTCGTTATTATAAATATTAAATGTGAAAAAAAAGCATACAATAAAAGGACGAAAAATCAAACCTTTTTCAGGCAATATTACAAACTAAAAAATTAAAAGCTAGCTCAAATTAAACACAATAAGAGTTGGTCGATATACAACTCGATTTTTTTTCTTAATATTAAAAAAAAAAGATATCGAGTTGGTCGACATGAAAAAGAAACAAAAGCAAAAGGACAATTAAATATTATCTACCTTCAAAGTGGAAACCGACATATTAATAAAAAAAAGTACTTCATGTATAAAATAATGGAAAGAACATCAGATTAATTTAATCTTCTGGAATCTGGACAACTGGTTTGTTCGCGTCATGATCCATGAATAATGATATCAGAACCCGTAACTTCTTTGATTTGGTCACTTCTTTGGAGTCAAATTAATCATAGATAAAGTATATACGTGCCGTCCGTAAACCTTAATATATATATAAGGGTAACTTTGATATAGTTTTACACAAGAAAAATTCACTTTGTTTCAGGCTTAATTTACTCACAGAATCATGAATATACAAATCACACATTCTCAACCTCTATCTTACAAGAAAGTACAAGCTGAAAACATTAAAAAATAAATAAAAAAATGCTGGGTGGCTTAGTTTGAATATTTTATACAAATACAAACTTAAACCTTTCTCAACCTCTAACACTATACACACCCCAACGACACCCTGCACCTAAATTAATTAACCTCGGGAATACCTTGTAGCACAGGCTTCCACGACCTATGATGAGCATCATGATGTTCATTCACATGATATCTGGCGTTTATCAATCGAACAAGAACTTGTTCTGCAGTAGCATGTCCTGCAACAACTTGCTTCTTCTCTTTCCCTCCCAACAATTCCGCTAGCTCCTTCTTTGAGATCTTTATCTTCACCTTCCCATTGACATGATCAGAAGAAGCTCGTCTCAGCGAACCTAAAAGCAGCCTTTCTTTCTCCACGTTCTCAAAACTCAACCCATGAACTTCATCAAACACCTTGCTTGAACCCATCTTACCCTTATGCTTAGAAGAATAAGAACCCCAGTCTTCCCCAGCCCACTCCATCGACGACTCCACCGCACAACAGTTTCCCATATATATTATAGATCAACCAAAAAAAAAAATATATATATATATATATATATATATCTATATATCTACTATTACCAGCTAGGTAGCTAGTTATGGATGATTTTGTTTTATATGTTGAAGTTTGTAAAAATGCAATGATGAGAGAGATTTGTGAGGTGGGAGGGTTTTGATATATATAGGGGGTGATGGAAGAGAAATGGGTAATAGGCAAATTGACTTTTTGGTTATGAATTTACAATATTGGATTAATTCTTCATCCATGTGGCAGCTAGATCTGGTCACTTTTAATGTATGTGGCAGCTGAAGAGGTAGGATTTGATTTGTTGACCAAATTATATGATTTATATAAAGCTATACATGCCGTGTGGGACCCAAATGATTTGAGGTACTTGATTTGGTCACTTGATCTTTGAAGAGCGTGTGTGAAATGGGGGATGAAAGAGCATATATATCTGAGTGGGTGTGAAGTGTGAACACTCTTATGCCATTGGAATCTTTGACTTGGGATATTTTGGCTTGCTGCTTTCATTTAATTACCTTCACGTGGGGGATTAGTATAATCACTTCCGTAATCTTTTTATCTCTCCATGGATAATGCTGCTCTGTTAGGTGTCAATGTGTCAGCTTTACATTCATTAACGGGTTAAACCTTGTGCTGACAAATTAAATCAAAATTTAATGATTCAAAATGGATCAGTTAATTCCATTAATTTAGTATAAATTTCATTTCAAAATATTAAAAGTTATTCAATATTTTAAAAAATAATTATATTTAATTAAATCAGTTTTTATTCGGTTAATGTTTTTGTTTTTTGCTTATCAAAAAAACTAAAAATATAAAATTGAAAAACAACTAACATCTTTTTAATTCCTTTAAATGATCAATAATATTTTAGAATGTAATATAAAATAGCTCATATAACTATAAGAAAAACATTACAAGAATAATGCATTCTTTGCTAGTGGATTTTTGTGGGTGAAATCACTGAAATGACTTGTTGATATTTTTGAAACACTAGATAAGAGTTCAGTGATGTACAAACTCATGTTTTCGTTGATAACGTAAGAAACGTAAGAAAGTAGGGATCAAATTCAGAGAAGAAACAACGGGCATTAATATTCCATAATCTAAAGCCCATAGGAATACCTTATTGAGATTCAACTTTGCTGATGCTTGCACTTCAAATTTAAAAAGTTACCTGTATGCGTTGTTTATAAGAAAATAAGAACAGCCACATACATATGATTCTCCAAGCTGGCAATTTAGCTAGCTAGAGAGTATATGGTCGGTCGTTGGTGGTTGAACTCATGCAATCTGTCTTAACGTAACGAACAGTATATTGAAGCTGCTTAGAAAGATGAATTCTTCATCTACTTATCAATAATTAAAATAAAATAAAATCACATCATCTATGATTTATTAAAATTATACAGCCACTCATGGCCAAGAGAAAAAAAAGGCACCGACTCCGATATTTTATTTCTTGCCAATATATTTTATTTCTCAGTACAGCTAGCAGAAATTAAGAAAAGTTAAGATAAAACAATCATTTAATTAGGAAATAATTTGCTAACTAAAATATATATCACTCCTTCGTTAAAATAAAAAATCCCGTAGATAAGATGATTTAAATTTTATTCAAATTATAAAATTGCTGAAAATAATAATAAAATTATTAGAATTGAAAAAATATTTATTAATATTTATAGCACATAATCTTTTGTTAGTCTAATTGACATTTTTAAATGTTAACTAGATGCTGGGAATTGAATTGATCATGTAAAGGTCGTTAATTGAAACATGTAAAATTTAGCTTACACATAAAATTAACGTTTTTTCACAATATTATTGTCCGTTTTTTGACAATCTAAGTTATCCTTGTTGGATATATATACAGAGAGCATTTAGATCTTTTTTCTAATCATAATAAGGAGTTTTTTTAAATAAAAGTTTTTTTATTTAATATATACATTTGGATCTATATATAACTTTTAAAAAATGTAAAGTTTAAAAAAATATAAATAAAATGGTGTCATTTTAAGACAAAATTTTGAACTTCTTGTTATTATTTTTTTTTTTGGAAACAACTTCTTAAAAATTTAATTATGCACTAACCCGACTTCACTCTCATTTAACCTTCACCACTAACAATATATATCCTTTTTAATAATTTTATAAAAAAATGTATTTATTAATTTTAATATTTAAATATTTTTTTTACTTAGAAGTCTTTTTTATATATACTCTGTCAAAATATAAAATAAATTTAGTTTAAAACAATCCTTTTAAAAAAAAGATGCGTAGAAAATTATTTTTTCAAATTTTCATGCTAACGGACTTGTAATCTCATAGGCTAAAGGCAAAATTGGACGAGACTTTCTCTGAATTCTCCTCTAACTCTTAATGTTTATACATATCAAAGCCTAGGACGTTCCTTTTTCCTGTGCGACCTGATTGGTTAATTTTCACATAATTAAAATGATATAACTATAATCTTAATGACAGGGTTTGTTCATCAACAACTCTGAGCTCTAGAACATAATTAGTTCTAGTCCCATTAGCCGAAAACTCTGCTTAACACTGACTTGTTCTTTGTTTTATTTATTTATTTATTTCCGTTGTTGATTGATTGTGTCTGTTATATATAGTTTTATCCTATAAGCTTAACATTATTACCTTTTCTACCCACAAAGTTAGTAGAATATCTCTAATGGTTAAACTTCCTTGGAGGTGTATATAAGAATTTTCCTTGTATTGGATAAGCATCGCCTAGTCAGTCAATTACCCAAAAATCCAAATAGAACCATCGATCCTTTACTATTCTTATCTCAACCTATAATAATCTCTGAAATCATCTGCTGTGTCATTTCCCTATAAGTGTTTGCCTTCGTCAATACTACTAGGTCACCTTATAGAATTATTGACACATTCGTGGGAGCTAGCCACCAATAGTGTAGTCAGATAAATTTCGTTGTAGAAGTGATTTTTCTATTATATTAAAATAAACTTAGACAGTTTTTTAGATGACTGTCTGTGGCCTGAACGTCATTAAGAACCTATTTGGATCGTCTTCTTTTTAAGTTAAAAATTACTTATAAGCTAAAGTTAAAAAAAAAAAATTAAAAAAAGAAGTTAAAAATTGTTTGGCAATTACATAAAAAGTTTAGTTTAAAAGTTATTTAAAAGCACATATTTCAAGAAAATTAGCTCTCTTTATCTTTATAACTCTTCATTTTAAAAAAAAAAAACACACAATTCAAGAAAAAAAATAAGAGATTTAAAAAAAGCTCCTCCTAGGAGCTTTTAACTTTCAACTTTTTTCTTCATGGGAAATATTTTTCTTATGTTGTAGGAAAGTTGTTATCTCATGTTGTAAAAATAAGATTACAAGTGAGATCCACAGGTAAGAGGAGAGAGAAAAAAAAAGAGTGGTGAAACATACCCCTATTTTGTGTGTGTAAGAAAATTATTTATCTCATGTAAAATGAGATATATATAACCCTTTCTTCAATATAAAAAAAAAGTTTTTCATTATAAGAACTTTTTCCAAAACCTGTTTGACCTAGCTTATGTTTATAAGTAGCTTCTAGCTTAAAAAAAATAAAGAGAATCCAAACAAGCACTAAATTGATCACGACAATTTTTCTTTTCGGCTCGGTCCCCCCCTAAATCAATCTCATCTATGCCTGGAGCAAATATTGGGTGAACCCGGCTCATATGAACCGGGTAGAGAGAAAGAAGAGGAGAGAGGATAGAGAGAAGAGAGGAGAGAGAGAGAGGAAGATGGAGGAGAGAGAGATCACCCAATTAATTTCCCTATGCCTGATGGTAATAAATTTTATTTAAATTACAGTTTTGGGTCTAATTATGTAGAAATCATTTTTTAATTAAAAAATATGTGCATCTAATTTTAAGATCCAAAATTTCTCGTATTATCATTAGTCAACGACCACAATGCAGAAAAAATAAAGAAGAAAAAAAAATTGGGTAACATCAAATATATAAGTCCACTATACGTGTTAGTATTATTATTTTAAAATAGTTATTTATTTTAGCAGTTTTTTTAATTCTAAAAAGTATTTATTTTCTATAATTATTATTTAATTAGTTTTAAAGCACTTGTTAAATACCCGTTTGGATAAGCTTTTTCTTAGTCAATTTTTTTTCAGAACAAAAGTACTTATACTACAAAGTCTGTTTGGATATCTACTTTATAAAAAAGTAAAAGCTATAGAAAAAGTTAAAATTCTATTTTTTTTAAGCTAAAAATTTTAACTTTTAAAAAAAGTAGAAGTTAAAACCAAATATTTTTCCAAACACAAATATTTTTTTAAAATCTAAATAATTGTAGCTTTTGTAAAAACTATTTCTAAAATAAACAAGGCATAAAAAATATTTTTCGAGAAGCTCATCCAAACAAGCCAAAAATACTGTTGATCACTTTTTTTTTTTTTCAAATATCAACTGGTATCTAAAATTCTAAACTGTGTTTCGGATTTGAGGCTTTCCAAATAATTGTGATTTTCAAAAATTGAACACATTATTATTTTGGCAGGTCAAATTCTAAAATCCACGAGGGTCACCACTATTTCAATCAGTGTTATTAAAACTGGACCGACTCGCTCGGGTCGACCCGAGAATTGGTGAACCGGTCATATAACCGGTTTGGTTGAAGCAATAGACTGGCCATGCATCAGAACCGGTGTGACCCGGTCCGACCCGACCAGTTTTCATGAAAACCGGTGACCCGGTCAGTTAACCTGTGACCCGGCCCGGTCCTAAAAAATAAAATAAAAAATCAAATTATTTATTTTTTCAAAAAAAAAATATAATAAATATATTTGAATATTTTTTTACTTATTGACTTACATAAGTTATGTACCTACAATATTAATATCATCTCAATTATGCACTATACAGAAAATTTTGATTTGATTTATAGTTAGAGATGTCATTTTTTAAACCTAAAACCCTGTATCATGATCATTATATTTTGTTTGAT